AGGATTTTTTAATGAGTAGAAAGTTCATCGAACTGCATTTATTAGAAATATATATTTTTGTAATATAATTAATATAATGTCTTTACTGTCACTTTTAATCAATCTAATGCATCCTTGATGAATTAAAGTATTATTATTATTATTATTTTAATTGTACTAACCCCAAAGCCTTGACTGGTAGTGCATCACCATTTAAAAATAATAAGCAGCAAACACTGTTTTAAAACTGATAATAAGAAATGTTTCCTGAGCATCAAATCAACATATCAGAATTATTTCTGAAGGATCATGTGACACTGAAGACGCATTCAGCTTTGCATCACAGGAATCAATTACATTCAAAATACATAAAAATTGAAAACACTTATTTAAATTGGAACAATATTTCACAATATTTCTGCTTTTACTGTTTTTTGATCAAATAAATGCAGATAAGCAAGAGACCATCAGAATGAGAGCTGGTTCAAAGTTAAAATGTTTTATGATGGATTTATTTAAACAAACACAAAGTTTTTCACTTCACAAGACGTTAATTGATGGACTGGAGTGGTGTGGATTTCTTGTGGATTATTGTGATGTTTTATCAGCTGTTTGGACTCTCATTCTGACGGCACCCATTCACTGCAGAGGATCCATTGATGAGCAAATGATGCAATGCTATATTTCCTCAAATCTGTTCAGAGGAAGAAACAGACTCATCTACATCTTGCATGGCCTGAGGGTGAGTACATTTTCAAAAAAAAAAAAAAAATTTTTCGGGTGAATTCCTTTAAAGCATCTGCTCAAACTCCTTAAAACATGTTCTAAACATTTTCTTTCAGTGGCAATTCAGTGGATCCCTGAAGGCGGATTGGCAGCCACCTGCTGCCTGTTTACATAATCTGGGTATATGCCAAGTTCATGACAATAGGGTCTTTGCCCCTGTAAATATTTCCTTTTGAATACCTTGTTGCCATTGGCCGTGTACATAGTTAAGCAGTTGGGGGAGGGGCTTCTTACTTCTTACAGTCCCATCTTACTGCTATTAAAATGACTGATTATCCTGTCAGGATAGCTCTGGCCTAGTTTTGACTGACAGAATAGTTCATGCTGGCACAGTGCCACAGATGCAGTACTATATTACTGTAACTCTTTTACAAGGTCACCTAACCCCATTATCTTAATAAGGATTATAATTAATGCAATTTCAAAACTGATCATCTCATGCTTTTTCTGCCTTCCCATATTGCTTCAGGGTGATAAGTTTTTAAGGAAATGTGTGTGAACATCCCTGAGGGGTGGTGCAGGGTTTCATCAGATTTTTAGGTTAAATTATCCATGCATTCAATATCTGTTTTCAATATATCTATTTGGAAATTCACAGGGAAATTGAATGAACTGTATTGTAAGTCACTTTAGCATATCTAATTAATAAATACAATGAAATTTACACACAAGTTGTGTGTAACACTGGAGTATGTTTTACAAGAAAAGACTATTTTTAGTCTATGTACTGTACTTCAAAATGTCATGCTTAGCCTACACTCTAAAAAATGCTGGGTTAAAAAGGGACAAACCCAGCTATTGGGTTGTTTTGACCCAGCTGTTGGGTTGTTTTGACCCAGCGGTTGGGTTGTTTTGACCCAGCGGTTGGGTTGT